GCATTTCGTTTTGTCTGAAAATTCCCGATAGTAGCATTTCGTTTCTCTGATATTTCGCATACATAGCTGAAATCTCTCAAGTTAGTATTTCGTTTTCTACGCATATTGGGATAACGATAGAAGTGGTCATATTCTCGGAAACCGAAATTATTCTTTTCTGAAAATCGAATTTCCATTCTATCTCGCAAATTTTTTTTGAAAACCGAAATCTTGCGGAGCCTACCAACACTTCGTCTAGCATATTCGGAGATTGCCATATTCTCAGAAACGGGATTTTGTTCTTTTCTGAAAATCGCATCTTTACTCCATTTTGCAAAAAAAAAAAAAATCAAGAGCCGAAACTTTGCGGAACCTAGCCTAGATCTCGTTCATAGTACTCTTCTGACATGTCTCACTCATAATAGATTGACAGATATACAAAAAAAAAAAAGAAGAAAGGAAGTAGTCCTCTTTTATTTTTTAATTTTTTATCTGTTGATTAGGGCCGGAGGAAAGTATTGTTGGGTTGGTTTCCTACCTGCGTGTTCCCTCCCACCCACCCTTTGCATGCATTTTCGGGTTGGTACAGTGGCACGTCAGACACAGTGCCACGTCAGCAGTGCCACGTCAGACACAGTGCCACGTCAGACAGTGCCACGTGAGCAGTGCCACGTGAGCAGTGCCACATCAGCAACATGACCGGCCTGCCAGGCCAATTGGCCAATGAGCCCATTGCCGACTACAAAAAGCGCTTCCAGGCTCAGCTCGCTGCAATCGAGGCTGAGGAACAAAGCCAGCTGGCAGTCAAGGCTGCCCAGCTACAGGCTGAAGAAGAGGCAACAGCAGAGAAGCTGCGGCTACAGGCCGAAGCAGGCGCAGATGCCCAGGCTCGCCGCAAGGAAGCCCAGGATCTGCTGCAGCGGCATGAAGCCAGCAACATCGACAGACTCAAGTTCTGGCACTTTGAACCGAACGGCGACGAACCAACACCGGAAGAGAAGCATAAGGAGTTCATGGCCAAGCTCGTGACCAGGTTGGTTTATACTTGTAACCACCTACAGTCCGAGCTGGCGAACCTCCAGCGGGCCGTGCGGAACCATAAGACTCAGCACGAGGATGCCACATGGGCACTGGATGCCCGTGTACTGGACCTGGAACAGGCTGTCCCAGGACCAGATGCTGGGGCTTCCAGCAGTGCATCCTCTAGCCGCCAACTGGAGGAACGCGTTGACCACGTGGTGGCAATGCTAGGAGACACAAGTGCCTTCACAGAGCCGGCCACCGTCAGCCAGCGGTTCGAGTTGCTGGACACTAAGATCAGTCAGCAACAGCCGACCGACCACAGCCACAACAACAGCTCGGCAAGGCCATACAAGATGCCGACGTTCCGGATCGAGAAATTTGATGACTACACACATCAAGACCCGGTCGTCTGGTGGCAAGGATTTACAACGGAGTTGGGAATCCACGAGGTCCCTGACCATCTGTTCATCAGTGCTCTATTCATCAACACCAAGGGAGGATGTCAGATCTGGCTCAGCCACATGGCAACCATCCACGACGTCCAGTTTTCAGACCTGCATAAGAAGGTCACCTGGGAGGATATGACAAAGGAATGGAAGAAGCGGTTCATAGTGGATGACGCACCCGCGCTCGCCATCAACCGCATCTTCGCGATGGCTCAAGGGAGCACACCGACACGTGACTGGCTCACGGATTGGTAGAAGGTCGTGGCCACGCCCGATCTGGACTTGCCATTTCCGCATCTGCGCCGTGAGTTCTACAACAGGTCATGCGCCGCTCTCAGCCTCGCACTTGGTGATCGCGAGCAGTACAGCACCTTCGCAGAGATCATCAACAAGGCGAGAGAGATCATCAAGACCAACAGGGCGGCCGCACACGAGAAGTCAATGTGGCAGCCAACCTATGTGGAGAAGGTACGAACTGGTCCGCGACAACAGCAGTTCGCTGCAGTCCAATCGGACAGTGGAGAAGACCCAGCAGCCACTCCAGCATCATGTGAGGGAGATCAGGTGGCTGTTGTCCAGGCGCGAAGCAACAAGCCCCGAGTGAACGGGAAGGCGAAACCAGCATCGCAGGCCGGAAACGGACAGCCAGCACCACCATGGGTCAAGTTCGACTTGACCGAGGCCGAGTACAAGTACCGCAACCGTTACGGCTGCTGTTACTGGTGCAACAGCACCAAGCACAAGACCTCCATTTGCCAAGATTAGGCCAAGGAGGATGTGCGGCCTCGTCTTAACTCAGGAAACTGAGTTGCGCAGGAGGTGAGGCGACTCCACCTCTCACTCCGCCTGATTCGGCCGCCTTGCTAGCGGCCTCCTACACATCTGGGGAGGATGCGCATGTCGCAAGTCCTCGGTACAATTACCAGGATTATGCTGCCCACTTGGTCCCACCACTGGACCAACCGCTCCACGTGCAACAATCTACCGCATGCACGGTTTCATCACCATCGGCAACCGATTCGGCAGTTTCGCCGCTATCTATCGCCGGGGATTCATCGTCGTGGTCAAGACTTGAGGTGCTCGACCCACTGACGTTCACGGACTTCCAGTGGATGCTCGTTCCCCCGACCGGACGATTGCCTAAACCGCATTGCAATGTGCTCATGGCACAACTGCGAGATTACTTGCACACCGCAGTACCCACTCCGTTGATGGACACCGGAGTAGAGGTTGTCGACCTTCACGCCTACATTGCGAAGATCGACCGCGAGTTCAAGACGCAACGGTACGACGACATCAACGCACCATTGCTATACGTACGCATTCAAATCGGAGAGGCGACCTGCAACGCCTTGATCGATTGCGGAGCTACTCGCAACTACATCAGCCAGGACTTCATGGTCCGCACCGGCCTTGGCCCACACGTCCGGAGGAAGTCCCAGCCTACGCAAGTCACGTCCCAGTGTACTTTGCCCCTCACGCAAGTGAGGCGGTGTCCTTCGACATTCTGGACACCAACTTCGACATGATCTTGGGCATGTCATGGCTGCGAAGCGAGGATCACCCTGTGAACTTCTTCCACCGCACCGTTCACATACGTGATCAGAACGGAGTATTAGTTCCATGCACGGTACCTCTTCCTCATCCTCCGATCAACTGCCACGTGGTATCTGCCGCAAGCATGTGAGCATCCATCATCAGAGACGACATCGAGGAGATGGGGGTGTGTTTTCTCCACGCCCTCCCGCCCCGAGATGCTTCATTGACGGACTCATCTTCGGATCCACGCATCACCGAACTTCTCGACGCCTACAGCGACGTGTTCGAAGGCCCACACGGAGTAGTACCGGATCGACCCATCCGCCACGAGATCATCCTCGAGGACGGGGCCGTGCCTCCGCGCGGTTGCGTCTACCGAATGAGCGAGGAAGAGTTAAGTGTGCTCCGTGCACAACTCGACGATCTTCTAGAGAAAGGCTGGATTCGGTCTAACTCATCGCCATATGGTGCTCCTGTTCTCTTCGTCCGGAAGAAGAACAAGGACCTGCGGTTGTGCATCGATTATCGCAAGCTCAACGCGCAGACGATCAGGAACGCCGGCCCTCTCCCACGCATCGACGATCTTCTCGAGCGACTGGGCGGTGCCAAGTTCTTCTCCAAGCTCGATCTCAAGTCGGGATATCACCAACTCGAGATTCGCAAGGAGGATCGCTACAAG